CCAAAGCATTTATCAGTTGTGCTGCTACATTTTGCTTGAAAGAGGTTACTGAGCAGATTAACTTTAAAAGATTTCAGACTTAAAAATATTAATTCCTGAAAAATGCATTGTCCAAAAGGAATCCATACTTTATTGTACAATGCTCTTAAGCAACAGGCTCATTGGTAAGTTACCATTATATGTACAAAGTTATCATTTCTGAGAAAAATTAGGCACCATAACAACTAGTAATGTTTCACACAATACAACCATACTTGACAGGTATAATACCTATAAAACCTTGCTACAAGTCTTTTCATGATGGTATCCAACTGCTTCTTATAGATCATATTGCTTTAGAAATTAAATGCATTTTTAATACTCATATATTACAGTATCACTTGCCTGTGTGTATTTAGGTAAAGTACTCTGGCCAAACATGAAGATGGTATCAAATTATTCAGGATAATGGGTTTTAAAGCAGAATAAGAAAAAAAAAAACCTGATGAGAGTAAGAATCACAAGAAGAAATAAGGTTCTATGTAAGCAATTCAAAATAACGTATATAAAATATATTAAAATTCTTTTAAAAACTAATTGAGGTTGTGGCAGACAATTCATTGAACTAACTAAACTGCATTGGCAAATACTGTACTATGTATTATTCCATTATTTATCAAATAAATTTGAACTCAAACAGGTCTGCTGATCATATATATATAAAGCATGCTCTTAAGAAGAACACACATGCCAAACTACTGCAATACAAAACTGAAGTGTATGTCTAATTTTCTGAAGCTGTTCAATATAACATTATCTCAAATCTCCATGCTATTGTATGGCAAACTTCTTTTCAAATTATGCCAGATAATGTTAGTTTTGTCTATCTTATGACTTGTAGGCCTTGAACTGTAAACGTTTGGGGAGCATATTATGGTGCTTCTGCTGATGTTCAGATTGCGCCCAGATTCTGATTGTGGCTCTTAGACTTGTTATCTTGGCATTATGGACTGTGAACAATTTCAGCCTCTAAAGAAGTCCTCTTTCATAAATATAAACGTTAATCTTAATTTAGGGGTAAAGGGAATATGCGCGCATTTAGAAAAGTGAAGTGCTAGATGACAAAGCTATATGTGTATTTATATAAGGCTGTATAGGTTTTATTTTGACTTTAAACTATCTAAATTGGCTTCAGATCAGATCAGTATTTTTTTTTATTCCAGGAAGAATGGGAATAACATTTTCACACTACAGCAAGCAATGTAGTACTAATTTGAAACATAATTATCAGATGCTTGAAACTAATTCTATAATAATGACTATTATAGACATTCTACACATTTAAGAGATGTTATTACCTAAATTGCTTTTTAATATCTATGTAAACATAATTTCTCATATTAAAAAAATGACACAAACTTGAGCGGAGGATAACTTTGTTCTCCTTTTTTCCAGCTTTAATTCTACGTGTTGCTGCTGAAAATGGAAAAGATTGGATTGAACTTCTGTCAGAGGTACTTGAAAAGATTTACCTGTAAAAATATGTCAAGTTTTGATATAAATAGGTTTGAAATGCAAAAGAAGTTTTTCACAGCTCTGATTGTAAACAGCCTTATAATCTCGTATATTAAAGTTCTGTTTTTATACCCATCATGTTTACTGTCCATTGGAGCTGAGCGGCTAAAGAATATTGTTCATTTATGGTTCAATATCTAGGTAATCTTGTACTTAAAACTGTAATTGAGCCTAACTGATATTCATGTGACTGCACCCGATTTTATGTATTTATTTCTTTGCACGATCTGTGTTTTTGCTGGAAATAGGCAAAAAGTGCTGAAAATCTCAATCACATGACAGTGGGATATTGCAAATGGCCATAAATGCAAGTCGGTTGTCAATGCCCCAATCGTAGGGCTTTAATCAGTGGTGGGATTCAAAAAAATTTTACTATCAGTTCTGTGGGCATGACAGTGGGCGTGGCAAGGGAAGGATACTGTAATATCTCCAGTCAGAGGTGGTATTTGCTGGTTCTCCGAACTGCTCAAAATTTCCACTACTGGTTCTCCAGAACTGGTCAGAACCTGCTGAATACCACCTCTGGCTTTACCCTGTTTCTCCAACAATACGGCCTCCCCCAATAGGAAGTCCCAGCATGTTTTATAGGCATGAAATGAAATTAAGCCCTTCCCCCCAAATTAAGGCCTATATTAAAACATGCGAAATGGGGGGGGATGGTGGTGGGGGCCTTGCCGTTAGGAAGTACTTTTGTTGCACACCCGGATATGGTGCTGCCTGCATTGACCCCGATACGAAGTGCCCCACCAATGCCGAGGTCAACATCCAAGCCGTCGACACCTGCCCACCCAAAGATACAAGGGGGGGGGAATTAAGTCACCCCTGAAAAGACAGCCTAGCCATTTTTTCAGGGCTCAAAAAAAAAATAAGACCCGGCCTTATTATATGAGAAACACGGTAATTTATTACATTAGAGATACAGAATGATTTTTATCACTGACTGTGATAGTTTAATTATTTTGAAAGCTTACTTTTTGCAAAAGAAAATGTCCCCAGTTACACAAACTATCTTTTAAAAGTGTATAAATGTATAAACGATCTGCCAAAATGAGTATTAGCAGTAACAATTTGATATGCACAATAGGTCCTGATTCAATTTTTTAAAATGTAAAATGCCTTTCTAAAGTAGGGGTGCCAAACTCAAGGCCCGGGGACCAGATCCAGCAGGGCTGCCCTGGAAATAGTGATGGACAGGCCTGCAGTGCCTCTGCCAGAGAAAACAGAGCTCCGTTTTCGCTGGCAGAGGATTGCAAGAGCTGTCTCAGCCGAAAACAGAGCTTGGGAGCTTGTATGGCAGAGCGCTCGGACCACCACAGGCACAAATGATGTCATGCTGGCCACGCCCATCCTGACCACGCCCATCTCCCCCAGGTCATACACAATCCTGATGCGGCCCTCAATGAAATCGAGTTTGACTCCCCTGCTCTAAAGGAATTGTACAGAACGTTTCATAAAATCACATAAAATGATATAAACAAAGCTTTTCTAAATGACATTTGTAAAAATCATTACCTGACTGCAGGGACACTGGGACAGGTGGAATTTGGAGAATCAGTCTCACCTATTCAGCGTCGTTGTAAGTTTGAACAGTCACTCAACGAGTGGCTGTGAAGTGAGGGCCACCTGTAAAGTGTTCACATTTCAAAACAAAGTCTTCCCAAAACAGCAAGCAAAATGTAATATCTGCAAATGCAAGCAGCTTCCATTAACTTAATATCTAGAAATAGACATTTTTCTTTCTGCACAAACATTTCTGGTGTTTACACTTTTGAAAGAGGCTCCATGAAATAATACTATGTAAATTTACATCAAGTATCTTTTTGTATTCCTATATGCACTTTACTGTGGAAGATGTCGGTAATCTTTTGGTACCAAAACATCGTACAGAATTTGGAAAATTTTGAGGGTTTTTTTTATGCTGATGTGTATGCTTTAATCTTTTAGTGTTATTTTCCTCCATATTTTACTCTCAAAATGTCAGGAAAGTTTTCTATCTCAAAATGAGAACCATCAGTAGTTAACAGCCAGACTATGCCCTGAATGCTATAAAAGGGACCTTGAGGGCTGTAGACTGCTAATATCTGATGGAAGGAAGAGAAAGGAAAGCAAAGTGATTACAGGGCTGCAGGAGAAATTCAGTAAGCACTACTTTTAAAGTTAGATCAAAGTGAGCAAGGATTTGGAATAAGTTAAAGAGGTTATATGTTGCAAGTTGTTGAAAAATACTTTAAACAAATAATTCCCTTGTGCCTCTTTATGCTGCTGCTGTATTTCATTGGTTAGGAAATGCTTTCTCTTGAGTAGTGAGATTGCCACATGATGTATAGGCGATTTCAGCAAGTATCTGCTATCAGTTGCTTAGTCACTATGGAATAATAGTTAAGATATTTTTAGAACTTGGTTTCCAAGGTGATGCTATGGTGAACTTTTTGCTCCAAAGCACAGTGCTAAGTTCTGACATCTCTGTATATAACACTGAATTATTAGATTTTATTTTGGCCTTTTCAGCTGTATTTAGATTGTAATATAATTTGGATTTGAGCTTTCCTGGGATATATGTTCCCATCAATATTTGGCCATATGGATTTACTTGAAAAAGTAGTTTCTTTTAATTATCTATATAAGTTCCAGTCGATTATAACACAGAGAAATTTAAAATGGCAAATTTGATCAAAGGAGCTAATTTTTTATATTACAATTTCTAATAAAGTGGTATAAAATAATGTTCTGCCAGGGGCCTGTTTAATAACCCTACTTAAGCTAGGGATGGTATAGTTTGGTAACTAAGAATGTGAACAGGGAATTAAAGACTTAGCTACCAATGCATTTGGCAGCTTTAGGCAAAGTCCTGTTTTCTGCTATAGGGAAAATAATAAGATTAGCCTAACTTTTGCTGGGCTTCTATAAGAATTATTGAGTTGGTAAGTGTGAAGCTCATTAGATACTTGAAACTTGTAATATAAATGGTGCTGATATACTAAGATTTTTATGCTGATATACTAAGATTTTTGTTAAAGGTTGTGAATATTTTTAATCACTTGTAAATTTCTTAAAGAGTTATTTTTCCCTCTTCAATTGCATTGTCAATGTAGATTTTGTTTTTTTAATACAGATGCCAGGAAACAATGAGCATTCAAGCCAAATAAGCAAAGGTAAGCCAATCTATTTGATATTAACATTTATAGTAAGTCTAATAGTCATGATGAATAATATGTGTTGCATTCATTGTCACAGTATGCCTGGTAGTACCTTCTTAGACCTTAATCCTTGTAACTGCTATCATACATTATTTTCTTTATCCTCACAAGAACAATTTGTAAGAATATAATAAGACTCCACATTAGATCAGACCAAGTGTATGCTTTATGCAACTGTTTTCCCTCAGACACCAGTCAGATATCTTTAAGAAGTTCACTTGTATAATGAAAGAACAGCAACCACACTTTTGTTCCTGTTCTGTTCTAGTTGATTTAATTGTAAGCTGTTCTGGGAGGCTGTAAAGTCCAGAATAATGAATGCCCTCTGCTCTATATTAATTTCTCCTTTCAGTAAAAATATGCTGATTTAACTGGGACAGATTGTCCATCTAGCCTAATGCTATCCCAGGAGTAAAAAATACAATATCTACTTGCACTGCAATTATTTGCTATCAACTGTGTTAGCTAATGGGAGCTGAAGTCCAAAAGATTGGAGTTGGGGTGGGACTTGCAGTTAGGTCTTAATGGATAGGGATGGAGTTCTTTCCCCTCTTCTGGCACTGCAATGTGAATAATTTTAATGAAGATCCAAGGGAATTATGCATTGACTGCTGAATTATGGACTCTTCCTCTTCCTTCTGTTTCTGATGAAGTACTTCTGATAAAAGATGTTCCTATACTTCATGTTGGCAAGGTTATATTAGTCTCTGCATTAGACTTTTATCTGCTTGATACCATTTTTTCCGTGATTATGTTTATAAATGGTTTGAAACAAGATGGTAAGAAATTATGTTATTGCAAAAAGCATTAGAAGCTGAAGACTAAGCAACATAATGACAGTACAGTTGGATCTCCATAGTCATGGAATATGGATCCTATGTGTTAGTGAGTGATGAAGAGGCACACACATGTTTTTAGTCTTTCAGCAAGCGTCATCAGAGTAGGATAGTTTGTGACCTTTGTGTGCATTTGCATTTGGTTACTCTGACTTGACTTCAGGCATCTGTAATTATTTAGGCACGGAAAACCTCTTAGGGAATTTGAAAGAAGTTATGCATCTGAATACTGTAGAAGTTGTACAGTCTATATTCCTGAGACTGTGCATTATTAATGTGAACATTAATATAAACTTGCTCTTATTTGCTGACTTTTGATAAACAATTTAGTCTTCTATTTTTATATTGTGAACTGCTTTGTGTATTTTGAAATGTGGTACAGTATAAATGCAGTAAAGTTAACTTTTATATTCACAGCCCATATTAGCAGAGATGGTTCCTGATGTTTTTGTCTTCGAGCAAAACACAAACATTGTTTTTCCCTTCATTATTTGATGAAAGATTGAATATTTTTAAGAGAAGATTGCAGGCAGAATTGGAGAAGCAAAGCCTCTGAAAATCTTTCTGGGTGGCAATGAAGCTTTAAACGTCTCATTGATTAATGTGAAAGCTGTTTTGAAATGTTGATATGAATATTAATCAGCTTGGTTTATCAGTAAGAGTCCCTTTCTCTTGATCCCAGTAATAGTTGAAACAAGGGCCTAGTGTCAGGTATGGCCTGGGAAATGAATTGGTGGATAAGATGAATAATTCTTTTGAGCAGCTGTCTTTGGACCATTGAGACAGACATTCATCATGTTTGGATCAAAATTTAGAATGCCATAATTAGCATGGATGGTTTAATGTAATCGTATCTACAATATAGCAATATTGACATTAAGTCCCCCTCTAAGGAAGATGGGTGGTTAAGAATTATGATGGATGGATGGATGGATGGACGGACGGACGGACGGACGGACAGACAGACAGACAGACAGACAGATAGATAGATAGATAGAAGACAGATGGGGTAACCTATTGGTGCAACTAATAATACGGCAGTATACAGTTCTTTTGGTAGAAGAAATCAATACCTTTTAGTCATACATATAATTATCTTCAGGATCTGATGATAGTTGAAACAAGTGAAGAGATCATTAAAATTCCAATAGATTCTATTATGTATATTAAGGAAATCACCATTCTTACAAGCACCATGGTGTGAATTATTTTGCACCTGTGATACAAGTTTAGATTAGTTTTTATAGGGGCATAATGCATCTGAGAAAATGAGTAGCATTTAAAACTGTTTACTCTAAATGAAATAGTAAATTACCTTAGATTCAATGTACAAATACTTTAAAAATCCAATTCGCTATATAAATTCATATAAAATTACGTGAGTATTTTTATTGTATCTTATTTTCCACATTATGGTTTGTGAATTGGATTTTCAGTGGTTAATAAGGTTCTGGCACTATTCTTTTATTTAAATTTAAAACTTTTTCTTGCTTTTTTCAGCCAGTTTATTAGAATTCAGGAGATACTCATGTAAGCGTACATTACTTGAAAACCTAAGGTGTTTTTCAGTGGGCTATTTACAATAATACTGAATTCACTTAACTATTGTTGACATCATTTATTTATTTATTTCTATTTACAGAGCTAAGGGAGATAGTATTTGTCATCCAGAGTCAGAAGAATTCTTATCATTTGAAGAAAGCAGATGATCTTAAACAAAGTATTTTAAAACAGGCTGCCTCTTTGGGAAAGGTACGCTATTATGCTAAATATATTTATCTTTCTCCTTTTAATTTGAAATTTGAATTATAATTCCAGGATACATTTTTTATTTAAAGCTAAAAAGATTCACCTGTACAATTGTGTAACAGTTGATTTCTAAGCTTCCATTTATATATTTTTACATTATTTTTTAACATGATGCTTATGCTATTTGACTTTTCCTTTGTTTTGCATGAATTTTTTCTCCTCATTTAGGCACATCATGCAGATTAAAATGCATACCTGAGTTTTGTTTAATAATTGATCCTAACAAGATCCTAACTTATTAATACATATTTCTTACACATTGGCTTTTATTGACAAAATAGATGATAAGTTCTTAATTTAAAGTCAAATAGAACTTTATCTGCATTGTTGCCTTTTAAATAAAATCAAGACTATTTGGAGTTCATAGGAGTTAGAGGAGCTAACTGCAAATTAACAAAGTTAGCTCTGTCACAGTAATTAATTGATTGCAAGTAGTCCTTGCTTAGCAATCCAATTGGATTGGCAACTTAGTCACTAAGTGTCAGTCACTAAGCAGAAAATCACACAATCACAACAGGTTTAGAAACTTATTGCTCCTTTGGTTGTTAAGTAAAAGGCTATAGTCACTAAGTGAAACATCACCTGATCACGGCTTATGATTTTACTTCCGCCTTCTCTGTTGCTTGTAAACACACAAATTGTGATCACATGACCACAGGATACTGTAATGTTTGGAACTTCCGGTGGCACTTCCGTCTAGGACGGACTGAGACCATGATCATGCGCGGCTTCAATCCGTGCTTACCCTGTTGGAGGGGTCCCTACACGACCGGAATCATCAGACCCACCTCGGAGAGGTGGGGGAAGAGGGGGAGACTGCCAGCTGGGTTGAGGGGAGCCACATCTCCCCTCCCTGGCTTGGTACTACTCCCCTGGAAGACAGGGAGAAGCGGCAGTTTTAATGGCTGCCCTGAAGACAGGAAGCTACTGGGGCCTAAGTGTGTGCTGGAGTGGTGAAGTGGTGAGCGGCGTATAACTAGATAAGATAAGCTGAACTTTTTGTTTTAATAACCCTGAAAAGCAGAAAGAAAGATTCCTTGCTTGAGAGTATAACAGCGGTGAATGGAAAACAAGAGGACAATATAAAATAAACAAAAAACTGGACTACAAAAGAGCTATAATGAAATTAAGGACGGAATTGGGAATAATATACAGAACCTGGCATTAATTAGGCATTGGATAAAAGGCTGAACTTGCTTGGAATTGATTATACTAAAAAAAAAGCCAATGGTTGAAATGGTTGAAAATTAACGTTAATATAATTGAAAAAAGGGGGGAAAAAGAACTTTGAAAAGTGGAAGCGATATAGAGCACCACCTAATGGTACAAGACATTTTTTCCTGGATGACTTTATGGAAAATTACTGGCCTTTTAAATGCGTGAATGAGAAAAGATATGAAATAAAAAACTTTAATATAACAAGAACCCCGGAAGTTTAAAAGAAAAAGGAGAGATTGCAGCAAGAGGATAAATGAAGGCAATATCTTGGAACTGCTGGGGGTTGATTGTGCAAAGGAAATAGAAGGACCAATAAGAAAAAGAGAAATAAATGGAGTCTCTTGGCAAGGATTATAATTAACTTTAATAAAATAAAAAATAATACAAGTGATTAAAAAATGGAAGAAGCAAGCAAAGAATTTAAGTTGGAACTGCAAACTGTGAAAGAAATGTTAAAAGAAAGAAGGGGACTATTGGACATACTGGAAGAAAAAGCAATGCAATTTATAGCAGAACAAAGGAACTCTAGAGAGGAGGAGCCAAAGGAAGAGGAAAACAGCCAAGATGGACATGAAGATTCAGAGACATTGCCAAAAGACATAAAAGGAACTAAAACTAAGACATTGATGACAGAGATAATAAATAAAAGAGAAAAAGCTCCCAAGACTAAGCAAAAGAAGAAGCTGTACAAGAAGAAATTTCAAAAAAGAGAAAAGGAAAAGGTAGGAGGAAAGATGGGGGATTGGCAGAAGGAAATAAAAGTAATATTGGAGGAAAAAAGAGGAATAAAGAGGAAAGGCCAGGAAAACTTAGTAAAGGGAAAGTTGGCTAAAACTAAGAAAAATGACAAGGCCGAGAGCTTTAGAGATAAGGGTTAGATATAGCATAAAAGGGGGATACCACATGGAAATGTATCTTTGTATTTTTTATTAGAAATGTAAACTGGGGAGATTTGAAGTTTATAACTTACTGGGAATTACCTTAAGATTATTAGATAATTATAAATGAGAAAAATGAAGGAGTGAGCAATATTAAGAGGATTCTATTGTTATCAATTCTTTCTTTATATATATGTATGAATGTATGTATGTATGTATGTATATACACATTCTAAAATAGTCTAATGATTATTTAAATGATATTAGGAAAACAGAATATGTCTTGGGTGAAAATCTGGTATTTTCAAAAATTGTGAATTAGGGTTATATAAATGCTATAGGTTGAAATTGGTCAAAGGGAAGTAAAAGGGGAAATTAACTCTGTTTTTATTTTTATTTTTCTTTCGTTGTGGTATACATGAAATAGAAAATGCAATTGATTATATAAAGGATATGAGAAAATAGAAAAATATTTATAATGAATGTATTATAATCAAAAGCAGGGGAATGAAAATTTATTAAAACTATATAGGTAAATTTTGGAAACAAAGAAAAAATATGGAATGATTATATGAATATCTCAGAAATATATATAAGATATATTGTAGATGAGGGGATATACCATGTGGATCCTAAATGTATTAATCTTACTTTACTTTTACTCGCTTTTTTTTCATTGACTGTCTAATTATATATTAGTCTTAAGAAAGTTATAGATGATAACAATACATAATGTAACATAAAATAGGTGGTAAGCTGAAAATGAAAATAATAGGGGATAAAGAATTGAAAATATATGTGAGGATGAAATGATTTTGCTATTGAATCAATGAAATGAAATATGAAAGGGAAATTTATCTAAAGATTAGTCTAATGGATGATAATTTGAGGTGATATTAATTAAGAAAGTTGAAAGTGCAACTATGACTATGTATAAATATTGTAATCTGGAATCACGTTGGCCACGTGAAGAGATGTGTAAAAAAATAAAAACAAAAAAACTTTGAGGGGGAAAAAAAAGGATACTGCAATGTTTATAAACATACGCTGGTTGCAAAGCACATGAATGGTGATTACATGACTGAAGGGCACTGCAACGGTCATAAATATGAGGATTGGTCACAAAGCTATTTTGTTTATATTGGATTAACTTAGAACACTAATTAAACAAGGCAGTCTATAAGCAAGGACTTCCTGTAGAATCCTCTGGCAGTCTCTAGCTACTGCCTGAAACTGACCAGATTTTAATCAGTTTCACACTGAATGCTTTTGTTGTTCTAAATGTTGGCATTCAGCCAAAGTTACTTTTTCATAATCCTAATTGCAAAAGGAGGAAATTACTATCTGTAATTATTTATCAATAGGTATATTTTGAAATTATAAGCAAGGTGATTGATAACTAACAGCAGTTTCTCTTTTTATCAACAAGACAAGGAAAATCAATATTGCAACCAAGGGAAATTATCCCTGCCTGTGTAACTTTTTTAAAATGAGTAAAATTCATGAAATGTCAGGAAAGTGGTAATAAGTCTAATATGATTTTACATTGTTGTACTTTTATTTTTTTCCCTGCCTGATAGGAAAATTATACATTTTCTTTTTTTTACCTGAATGTTTGTAGTTTCTATCTGCTTTGCTATTGGATTGTTAATTTTCCTGCACTCCATGTTACTGCAGTATCCTTGCATTTGTTGACTACAATATATTTTCACAAACTAATGAGTAGACAGTAATAAAACAGAATGAAACATTTTTCTATTATATTTATTTAGAATTATTAAATGTACTGTTATAAACAGTATATCTAAGAAGAAGAAAGAAACGAGCTGCGTTATTGTTATATACATTGCCTAAAACTTCTTAATTAAAATATAGAATATGTTTCCATATTATTTCATCCATGTATATTCTTTTATCATTGGGTGGGCAAGTAGGTGGAGAATAAACCTACATGTGCTCTATTATGTAGTATTTAAAATGTGTGATACTGAGAAAACTATATAGGTGGGAAGTGGATTACCATTTTGCCCTAGAATAATTTCATGTAAACATCAGGAAATGGACTGAAATGAAACCTTTATAATATGCTGCTCTGTGAGTTGGTCATGCAGTACATATTTATTTTAGTTCATATTTATTTTATATATAGATTATATATAATCCCTAACCTTTGCAACTTGATGGCCCAGCTGGGAGGGGAGAGGGGAACCAAGCTGTGCAAATGGTGGGCCAGCATTCACGTGTGTCCTCGCGCAGCTGAACAAACGCAAGCGGTGGGCCTGTGCACATGCGGCATGCTGCTCAGCTGCAAGTTGAGCTGTATGTGCATGCGTGTGCTTGCCAGCCCACCACTCGTGTGAATTGACCTTCTCATGCACACCAGTCTGCTTCTTGCATGGCCTGGTTCCAAATAGGCCATGCCTAGTAGTGGGCCACAGCGCAGGAGTTGGGAACCCCTGCTATAATGTATTTGGAGAACAACAAGTAAAAATACTGTGAAAGATAATGAATTCTAGCTAAATGCAGATCAGTACTTCTTCATCATACTGGAAAAGACAGGTGGGACAAGGGGCAAAGGGCACAAGGCCATAAATGTTTGCCAATAATACATAATAAAACATGGTTTATGACATCATGGATAAATTTTAAAACATGATCTGCAGCATCATATTTTTTATTACATTTGTATGCAAGATCTCTTGGTATATGAATTTGCATTACTATTAAAGCATGAGTTACAATCTGGTTGATTCTGTAACTCACAGTAGTTGATGAGCAAGTGGCAGTTAGCTAAGAGAATACAACTCCATTTTGTGCACCAATGACAACCCCTCTTATAAGCCACAATTGGTCTAGACTAGAATTGTTATAGGGGGTCACAGGAACTTATCAATTTGTTCATTTCATCCCACTATTTTGACAGCTGCACTGGTTTCCTATTAGCTTTGGATTCAGTTCAAGGTACTAGTTGTCACCTTTAGAGTTTTACATGACTGGAGGTCTTGGTATCTTTTGGACTTCTTATCTTCACATCCAATACAATTTGGAAGTGCAGGCTCTCTCCTATTTTCTACTGTTGGGGAATGTCACCATCAAGACCGAAAGGAGAAATCCTTTTCAATTCTTGTCTCTTCTGTGAAATAGCATCCTGGAAATATGATTGCATTTTCTGGCCAATGTTGATTTGGAAAGATCATTAAAACTTGCCAATTTCTAAAGGCCTTTGAGCTGGGAGTTTTTACTGTTGTTCCCTGTTATTGTGAAGTATTTGTCTAGTGTAATTATGTTTGAAGTATTATATGATGTTGCTTGATTTTCATATTATAATTGTGTTATTTTAAAACCTTTTTCATAATCTTTCTAACAATACTTAACCTTAAGGAAGAAAGAAAATTTAAAAGTTCAAATTAAAAATTTAAGCAAAGAAAAAAAGGGTGGAAATGTATCTTTATCTTATGCTAAACAGTGAGGTTTACCAATGAATTCATTACTATAACATGAACAACAGAATATATTACTGTAAGATATCACAAAATCTCTGCCATACTGCAGTATTATTAGTAGAGAATCTTGCCTTTTCCAAAACTAATAAATCATACATCCCCAGCAATCATAACTTATCATCTCAAATATATAACTTTTCCCTTTCCTTAATATAATTATTTTTACCCACATACCTCAAGGAAAAATACAACCGCAATTCGTAAGTCAAATTCCAAAGGTTGGTATATATGTGTTGTATTAATATTTTTTAAGATTTAA